TAATTTGGTAAGTTATAATTGGTCAATTAGAAGATAAACTATATAATATATGATCAGCCATTAAATGTCATTGGAGTATTATAGATAAAATAATGATAACCTATTATTATTAAAGTGTTCTTCTATTTCTCACAATATTACACCATAAAAGTATAATGATGTGTAAACACTAAAAATATGTGATCTTAGCAGTCTCATCGTTCTCCGAAATCGAAATCAAGATATAAAAAATAACCTGACAAATCCTAATAAATTAATTTAATGTCCAATAAAATTCGACATTGAGAATGGTGTAGGGATAAAAATAGTCCTGAAGAAATACCTACCTGTCCAAGTTAATAAATATTGCTGGGCTGCGGGGATTTATTCAGAAAAAGTACTAAGCAAACCGGTGAGAATATATTCATAAAATAAAACAATTAATTGGCAACGATTCACTTTCTGTATTAAATAAATTAACCTTAATAATTTCATGTTTTCATTAGACAGTTCTTAAAAATGATTTAAAATGTTAAGTCATTTTTTTTTTTTTTTAATAATTATGAAATATTATAAGTTATTAATTGTTTGTTGTTTAGGTTCAGTTGTTAAAATTAAATGATATAAATTAATTAAGGTTCAAGAGGAGTGTATTATTTTTAATTGGCTATGACCCTCACTTTTTCAATAAATAATTAATATTTTCATATACTATAAAAAAATTCGGGGAATTTTGAAAGCCTTAGTTGTTAAATTAAAATAATTACTTATGCTTAACTGCTAAATAGTTTGAAAATTTTTGAGACAAAATAAATAAATATAAAACATAATATTATACGTGTACCTCACTCATCTTATCAACCTTTGTTGAACACATTTAACATCCAGAGCTTAGCAAACAGAAGAAAGGTAATTGATCTATTATTTTTGTTCAAACTACTTAACGGGTTTTTCTACTGTCCGGAGCTATTAAGTTTTTTAAATTTTTCTGTTCCTCAAGTCAGAACTAGATCATCAATCATAACTACTTTTTATATAAATAATCACAAAACTAATTATGCGTTATCCGCTCCTATAAATAGAATGATGGCTATCACTAATGATGAACAAATTGATTTTTTTAATTTCTGTCCAAATTCTGTCGATTTTTTCAATAGTTTTGTAAGAAAAAAAAGTTAATAAATTTAATTCTGTTATTAATTTTACTACTGTATTGAGTTTTCGTATTTTTGAGTATTTTCTCCAATTGTTATTTTTATTATATTTCTGTGTTTTTTGTATTATTAGAATATTAAGTATTTTAGCTATTCATTAGGTAATTTATTTTTTCAAATGTTATTTATCAAATGTTATACCATACCTATATGTATTATGTACTAAATTTCAATCTTTTTTGTAATTGGGTTATTACCCGTAAATAAATAAATAAATAAATAAATAAATAAATAATCACGACTATAAATTTTTAATTTTTTGAATTACTATAAAAACTACTAATGTGGTATCTTGTATAAATATCAAGCTTTTAAACCAAGTGTTAAAGTTAAATTAACACAATTTCTAATCTCAACCATTTACAATTACAATTTTATCATTTTTAAATAGCATTAAAAAAATTACTTTTATCAAAAATTGGTTTTGTGTGAAATTTCCCTTTGTTCTCTATTTTTTATTTCAGAAATGTATTGGAATTTTTTATTTCTGATACCCCCTCCCCCGTTCTTTTTCCAAGTTTAAACTAGAACCAATTTTCTATCACAAACCACCCTGGAAAAAAGTCTAATCATTTTTACTGCTAATAGCGGGCAGACACAAAAAAACAATCCAAACATCATTGTTGTTTAACCACTACATTGGTCACTCCGTTCAGAACCTAATATACATAAACCTAATAAACAATTATTCATAATTTTCAATGGGCAAAAAGACATACATATGTGTAATATGATTTTGTTAAATACGTGTTAGGCCAATGAATTTCAGAAATTAGACAGGGAAAAATAACAAGTAGCAACTTGGCATGATCATTAAGCTATGTATTACCTACGACGTTGGTACTACATATTAATAAATTCTGTGAAAAATGATTTTTTATCATAAGGAACTTCGAAGTGTCGTTAAATTGTTCAAATAATATTTTTGACATAGCTTGGGATTGGACTTTTTACTAACTCAATGTTATCGATTTGTTGTATATACCTAAATAACAAGGACACTTTTTTCTTGATAACGAAAAAAACATCAAGCATCTTACATTTCCTATAGGTACCTACATAAAAGAAAAATTATCTTTTATGCTTTTTAATTAAAATAAGGAATTTGAATACTTAGTTTCATTATGTTATCTGATCACAGATTACTTTTAACTCATTTTCATATTATAATTTTAAAAGAAAATCATATATTTAAAACTAAAAAATTGAATGATAAAAAAATAATAAATGTAACTTATTTTTTGTTGAAAAAATAAAAACAATTCATACTATTAAATTAATCCAGAACGGTTTTTGGATCTACACTTTAGATCTAAATAAATTTAACCAGTAATCGATTTTTAACAATTTATAGACTTTTAAACTACTGTAGTAGGTATAATAATATACTAAATGTGAGTATGTAACACTCTGTTTTAAACAGGTATGCGACGTTCCACTTAGCTAGTGGTAGGTATATTAATATATATATTAGTATTAATATATATTATGTTTTATTGTGTTTCATATGATATAATATTTTAAATTCGTTAAAAATAAATGAAAATTTAACTTTTGTTCATGGGTTTTATAGATTCTCATCCTTAATATTAAGTGTTATTTAAACTGATTATCTAAAAATTGAGTTAATATTCATATGAGTTAATACGGTTTTGGGTCTTGTGTCATGGTTATACTATCGAGGTTAATTAATTTATAATTTATAACAAACCCCTCATTATTATTGTGAAATCCGTAATATTGTTACACTTTAAGAGGATATAATAATTATATCATAATTTTAAATGTATTTATAATTTTCTGTTAAAGGTGACAAAATAGTTGTATTAAACCCAAATTTTAACTTTGAGGATTTAATTTATTTATAGTTAGTTATTTGAAAAGTTAATTTAAAAAAGATTTATACAAAGTATTTGAAAACAGTTTAAACATTTTGTCATCTAAATCTACAATTAAATTAAGTATGAACCTCACTTATAATAATACAATCACATTCAACCATTTTTAAAATATATTTAGTTAGATTGAAGTAACTAGGTATGTGAAACTTGTGGCGATATTTAAAATAGTATAGGTAAATAATATACGATTAGCAAAGTATTTTCAATGTACCCCTGAAAGTTGTATAGTTAATTTTCTCTATAATTTTAAAATTACATGATTTAGAAAATAAAATTATTGTTTTGTCTTTGTGTAACAATAAATTTATTGAGTAATTAGATCAGTTGATAAAAATTTATATTTTTAATTCAACCTATAGGCATAAATCTAATAATATTACTCTAAAACATGTATAAAATATATTTCTCAAAAAATTCGTTTTTAAATTCCAGTAAAAGATTAATAGGGATTAAAATAGGTCATTTTGTTATAAAGTTTGACTGATTTTTCATGGTTTAGTAGGCACAGTAATTATTTTAAGTAAGGACGTATTTTGTTCTAAAAGTATCAGCTATAAAGGTAACAACTTATAATAATGTTGTTGCATTATAATGTTTGAAATTCGGAAAAACGATTGACGAACTTTCGGCAACTTCATAAATTAACCTCATTTGCAATATAGTTCGTAAAATTACATCACAGATTCGTACGCAGTAAAAACTTTTTATCGACCAATCTACTGGTTTCCATATATCACATTGTAATATTATTATTAATTATATTATGTTAAAATCGTAAAATTATGGGACACGTTAAAGCGTAAGCTATATGTCTTCTACTTTCATTTTATCATAAATTCATAATAATATTATTGATGTGATTACAATATTCTTATGTACCTATCAACATTTTTCTGCAAAGACCTAAGACGCTTTCAAAGGATGTGCAAGAAAGGCACTCAGATTAAGTGGGAAGCTGGTGAGGCCACCTCCCTTGGGCCCACTCTATCATCAGACTAAAATTGTGTAAAGTGGTTGTTTTCAGCACAAACATTGTTCATGATTTTTATAATTGTATTATTATTATTATCATCATACAAGTTATGCGAAAATATATAAGTACACTGAAACCTGTATTGGCGGACATTTCTTTCTAAAAATGTAATGTTCTTGCTAAAAATATAGGTATTGTAGTGTGCACGTATATAATAATATCCCGTGACTGTCCGTTATACAAACATTTTACTGTAATTAAAATATGATAACAATTTCATTTAGGCAGTTATAATTTTAAATCCATTTCATACTGTCGATGTCTTTGATATATACCTACATACTGTATTACCAAATCATTTAACAGCATCCAACATATTTAAATGTTGATTTCGCTTAGAATTCAATACCTAAGGCTCGCCCTCGAGACAAATTAGTTCCCGTAAAAGATATATGAACTACTTATAAATTTTAATCTAATTATAGTTATAGTAACATTAATGTTATAGTACACTCAGTTAAAAATTCTAGCAGGGAAATAACCTCTTTTCTCCCCACTGGGGGCGCCCCTGACCCAGGTAATAGAGATAAAAAAGCTGTGCCATACCTATTCCAATGTTAAATACCTGTGTAACGTTCAAAGGTTTGATACTACCTAGTATATGAGAGCAGTTGTATATTATATTTTGTCTTCCGTGATGCCAACAATCGCACACAACCCCATCAGCCCCCGAACCTCCAATTGGAGCTTGTTCCCGTTGCAGTTGGACTGCCAAAACCACACGGCCAAAAAAACTACGTCAGTTTCGTCTCGGGGATGCACCCAAGGGCCGGATATCGCGTACACACGGACCGGAAACCGCGCTTTGCGTGTACAACATACTACCCTATACTTAATAGATGCCGATGGTATGGGACCGTTTTGTAGTCTTACCTGTGTCGTGAGTAGTCGGCTACAAGGCGGTTGTGGGCAATCGCGCCGGCATTCGGACTCCCCGGTTCAACGGCCGATCATGCCGTGCGTGGGGTAGGTGCGACACTGGCGGCGAAACAGCAGACGGACACGGACCGGACCGAGAATAATGCGACGCAATGATCGATTCCGTTTGTCGGTGTCGTCGTGTCGTTGTCGTCGGGGAGAGAAGGAGAGATTGTGTGAGAGAGAGAAAGAGAGTGAGAGAGGACGGACAGAATATGAAACGAAGTATAACCCGTCGAAACGACGATAACGAAAACGAAATAAATGTATACTATTACTACTATCGTGTTGTGTTATGATTTATCGTCGAATAGTGCGTGGCGGAAATCAGTTATTGGTCGGATATCGAATTTTTCCGACGATGCGTGGCCACATGGTACGCGTCGCGACCGGCTTGACGAATGAGGAGAGACCGCACCGCGCGGCAGTCAGCGGGTTTCTCACGTGTTCCGCGGGTAGTATGATAGTAACAAGCCACGCCGGGGCGAAACACGCCGGCGGAGGTTTTTCGCGTAAACGCGCCCGATCGGACGTGGCAAACGTTTTATTATTGCGATCACCACCGCCAACATCGCCACCACCGTCGCCGCCGCCGCCGCCGCCGCGGTCGTTCGAAAACCTGTCACGTCACAATAAATTTATATACGCGTACACTGCCTCCACCGCTTTTGACTATAAAACATATTTTCTTCCATAAGAACGGAAATTGAGAGCTTATCAACAGGAACATTATATTGTCTTCATACAACGGGAACGAAATACAAATAACGATAATAATAACAGGATACCGAATCTAATAAGAAAAACGCAGCGTTCACTTTCGCAATAGATTCGAAATAATAATAATAATAATAATATGGTTTCTTCTTACCACACGTCAAAAATAATCTTCATATATATGTGTATATAATTATTAATTATAATATATAGGACATAGGTACTACTTAAGAGTAGTAATCTAGTACAAATATAATGTAGGTATATATATTTAATATATAATTATTATTTACAGAGTGCGGGCCACTGGGTCTTAAATGCTTGATATTTTTATCAAGTATGTTTTGGGAAAATGGCGAAACTCGAAACCCCGTTCTGAATACACACACACGAGAAAACGATGAGGACGATAAAAAATGTGATGTGTGAGGTACGCAGAAATTACGCTTTGAACTATTAAATAATATTATTGTTATTTATATGTTTCCGAAAACTCTATTATGTGCAGATGTACTAGGTTGAGGCGATTCACACTGCTCTGTGAACCGTGGCCCTTGATTCTCGGAAAAAGAACTATCCGTAATTTTTCAAATTTATATTTATTTTTTCATTTTTGTGGTGAAGTTATAAACATAATGGTAAGTGGTAACTGACTTCTTGGTATCATAATGATATAATCACCTAAAAGTAAAAATTTGTATTTTATAATTATTTTCATAACCAGCAACCAAAATTATTGTAAACATTTTACTTGAGTAGTGTCGGATTCTACTTTCTGCTATCTACAATATAACATGGTATTTACTTATAAACATTTATCTGCTAGGTAACCACAAGATCCAGCCAATCACAACGCTGAACTTTTTTTTCCGGAAATCATGGTTCACGGTTCACGGAGCAATGTGAAGTCGCGTACGATACGACGAATGTTTGGTTTTCTATAGTTAAGTCGTTTACACCGAATCGGTGGTAGTCAGGGATAGATCAACGAGTATAAACAGTAAACGCCAAAAATAATAGCTTATTGTCATGACCCATTTTAAAATGACATTAAATAATAATGGGCTAATAATATTATGTCGTACTACTAAAAACTGTAGAAAAACACCATGAAAGTTGCATTCATATTATATCTAGTATATTATACAATGAATATGTGTTCACTTTTTTTTTATTTAAAAAAAAAATACGTTTTTATAATGATATTTTACTGTATTCTAATTTAAAATCAAATGTAATAAAACATTTTATGTATGTTTTTGTCATAACATTGAACGAATTATGTAGTTATTATGCGATTTGTTCCTGAATTCGCGTCGCTCTCAGTTATAATATGGCATAATATCATCTCGTAAAACGTAAATAAAAAAAAATTATATTATTATTGCGCATACTGTAGTAGACAACTATTTACTGTGTTGAACATATTTTTAATAGTCCATATTATACGTATCAAGTATAAAACTCTGTTGTTAAATATAATCCATTTATCCCTGACAACAATATTATTTTATAAAGCACACATATAAATTGGTGGTGTAAGTTCGATCAATCATAAGATTTAAATGAGATTTTTTGCTAATATTATATTATTACGATAATTATATCCAGAGTTAGGTGCAATATTTCGTAGCGAATATCTTCAGATCAAATTATTTAATACGTACCATCATAAGAAACGATCGATGCAAGTTCAAAAGTACTACCCACTAATAACACTAACAAGAAAGTAGAATAATTGAATATAGACTACAGTACACATATTGGTTTTTTTTAGTTATCAACGATATATTTTAGATGCGAATGCGAGTATGTCATCACATCTGGTAATTGTTGCCCAGATGATGATGGTGTAATTTGGTATTTTTTTAGACTAATTTGAAAACATTTTATTTTGGTGAGACCTTGAGAGGGTTCGGGGACTTACTACTCTATGTTTTCGTAGATTTGTCAATTGCCATTTTGGATTGTTGCCTTCGGAGTAATGAGTTTTCTGTGAAATTGATGCGTTTTGCGTTGGCTTCCCTATTAATAAATTGAGGGTTCTACCTCTCTCGATATTATATTTTTGATGTTTTGGTCACATTAAATGTTTTTACAAGAGGCTGAAATTGAGAGTGTCCCCGATTTATTTACATTAAAAACAAGTCACTCAAAATAAAATTGTCCTTAAGTTATGCAACGTCCAAATTAACTGCTATTGTACTAGCATCTTAATATTTGTATTGTGGATTAACGTCTTCAAAATGGTGTTGGACACTGTGCACATTAATTTAAAAAGAAGCTTACAATACTTGTCCTTTCAGATCAATTTTAATAGCTTTCACGTGACTTAGATTAGGCCTTAATCTTCTCCATCTCACGCTTATTTCTCAGACATTAATTATTTTCCATTTTGTTCTCATCACGGAAGATCAAGTTATAATTTTGTGATTTCCAATAATATTGTTCACCTGTGACACTGGGTAAAGTGGTAATATTTTCCTAAAACAAGTAAATAACGAAGATGATAATCTACAATAAATATTCTTATTTCCCATAATCCAAGTATTATTCCAATTTTATTTAAATCCACATTTTAATAAGTTGAGTAATGAAAGAAACAAAAATATCTGTTGTGAGTAAAAAATAGTGGGGGTATAGACCATGGGGGTTTAAGATATAAGTGGATGGCCCAAAACAGTTGGAAGCAAAGGGCAAATCAAAAGGAAACGATTTTAATTATCTATTTCCATTGGATTTTTACATTCAAGTTGAGGTCTTACTGGTTTTGTAATACATATTTTCAGTTAATTTTAATATATCTGTATAGTTATTTAATTTTCATTTTCATGCTAGAACTGTTGAAAACATTTATTTGAAAAAAAAACCAGATAAATTAATTAAGGGCACATGTATGAACTTATACAATTTTGAAATGAGCTTTTGTTTCTTTTATATTATTCTGTAGTCCATGTAAATACAACTTTTTATGGATTGATAAATATTTATTATTTTTGTACCTTTGATTTCGTGAATTTTGATAATAAAAGACGTTTTCACTATTAAATATCAAATAGTAGGTTAACTATTCAAAAACTCTACATCATTTATAATTTAAAAAATAATATTTCGGCCGATATATCTCAATATGCTATGTTCTAAATAATAAGTATTTTTAACTTCCAAGTCTTAACTTAACCATTCGTAGTTAAATAATGAAACTATGTACTTTTTCAAGATATTATTCAAAAAAATAAGAAAATAAAAAATACTCAATGTTCACTTTTTTCTTAACATTTTTTGCATATACTTCTCATTCCTGATTGAAATAAACAACAGATTGCATTAAGGGTTAATGAATTTTTCAGCACATATCTCGGTATCATTAGAGCATAAAAGTTGTGAAAACTTTCATCCTGGCAGTCATTTTACATAAAATTATACCCAATGCCCAGGTCACATGATTAAATAATGAGAAAAACGTACTGTTTTTAAATTTTTAACATTTAAAAGAAACCAGTATTATCCATGAAATAAATTAAAAATTTTTAAATGGTTTTGGTATTTTTAGTTTTATAAGCATTATTTAATTTATCATAGTAATTATAATTATTTATCATTTGTTTTAGAGTAAAATTTTACTGTATTGAATATGCAAACCTAGTGACTTGATAATTATGTAGTGTATTATATGACACATTATAAAAATAACAATTACTAGACTTTCAAAATGATTTAGTTTAATATCATTATTTAAATTTCTTTTACGAAAAAAAATTTGTGTACCTAACTATATGTTATGTTAACTATTTATAAATTAGTAAATTATTTTTCAGTATAAAACGACAGGCATGTCAAATACATGCTTAAAAAAACAAGATTAGAGAAAATTGAAAACCTGGAATTTATTTCCACGATAATAATAACTTATCATGTGAACCATTCACAGATTGTAAGTGCTATTCTGATATGGTAGATGTATTTTATTGAAAAAAAAAAAAATAAATATCCTTCAAAAATAGAAATGCATTTGACTTTGACGAGATGTATGCTCAATGAATTCATTGTAGTATCATATCAATGGTTAATTTATATTATATATTACATCAACAGTGTCTGATAGATGGAAACAAAATACCAATAACTTAAATAAGTGATTTTTAAAAAATGTGTACAAAAACATTAATTTTATCAACCTTTGATGATAGCCGTAAATCGAGGAAACGATTTCTGTCCCGTTTTAACCAATGAATTGGACTTAATAGACTTTCTACCAACATTTTTCAATCTATAATATTAAAGATAAGTGGTAGTGATAATAATATGATGATATCCATCTACATACAAGAACGCTTAATATGCATTTTCTTTCACAAGTTGTTGTGAAAACAGATAATATTTTTGAAGGTGAATTGCCTGTAAGCAACCACATAATAAATAATATAATTTGTCTGGAAAAAATGTACCTATGTGATACAAACCTACCCAGTGTGTAATATGAACATTTTTCGAGTAGCGATATCATCTTATATAATATAGTATTCATTTTTTTCTTTCTCCATGCTACAGTGAATGATTGGTTTTACAATGATATTTTTTTTTACTCTTCTTATTTTGGAGTGGTAAAAATGCTTTAATATTAAAATTTAAGAAGAATATTCTGGTAAAAAATTGGATATTGTTGGTAGAGGTTGGAAAGACATCAAAATTGAACAAATTCCGGGACTCTTAAATGATTCGGATAAAATAACAAACAATTACACGAAAACGAAAATATTTACGCAAAACCAGTTTTTGCAACAATTCGTTTTTTTTTTTATTTTGTTGTAATTTAAAAGTCAATTTCATAAATATCAAAAATAAATGGTAAATACATTTTTTTTATAATCATTTTAAAGTACAAGTTTTAACAAAATTGGATGTTGACTCTTAAGAAACCGATTTTTCCTCCATCAATTTTCATTATTTTAAAGTACACGATGGATACTATTATACCTAATCATAGAAAATTGAAACATTACTAAAACTATAATTTTAGTACATAATTTAATTTAAAAAATATTAATTATGAGCTATTTATATAAGTTGTAAAATAGCTATAAATCATAATATTAATAAATATACATATATATATATAATAATATGACTAGATCATAGTCAACTGATCATTCTGACTTGCACCATAGAGTAATACATTCAGTATTCAAATATATTAAGTAGGTACTTTTTATGTGAATCGTTTGTATTATATTATTTTCTTTTTGCACAAAATATCCATGTGATTTTCTTTCTTTGAACTTTTGATACAAGTTTGTGAAATGGTTTAATTTTACCGCTATGCACATTGTCACTTATTTATGGCCGACACCTTATACCATCCAAAAATTTATGGTCACTGGGAAAAATCCAATCTAAAAACAAAAATCCCGTAGAATGTGCCACACCGCTTCATTTAAACGTCGTCGTCAGTCTTATTCACAGATCGCAGTGACTAATATTTTACAGCAGCCTGTATAGTTGTATATTTCAATCTCTCCAGGCTAGTTGCCTATTAAAGTTGAAATTTTGTTTTTTCAATAATTGAGTTTCATGCATTGGAAACCAACCATGCAAATATATCTTATGTAAGTAAATAGCAATGTTGATGTGTTGTGAATTCTTCAACTGGTGTTATGTATTATAAGTGTAGCGCAGTAGTCAATACATTTTATATAAAAAAAATACTTTAAAATAATTAATTAGAACAACTAATGTTATACTTCATTTGTCAGGTCTTTGTGTTGCAATAATTTATTATAGTAGATATAAGTAGTCAACATGTCTTTTTTTAAATAACCATATATATATTAATATCTTTCATTTTAATTCTGACATGACAACATTTTCTGAAAAAAATCTACAGTAAAAAATGGGGTTTTTTATTTGAAAAATAGAAGTTTATAAATCTCCACATTTAGTAAGAAAAATCTCAAGAATTTAAAAATATGATTTTTAAGTGCATTTAAAAATCTCAAAAATTAAATGTTGAATAAATTCATTATTCATTAATTCGTTGTTAAAGAAAAAATGGGTTGAACATGTTTCTTTTTATAATTTTGTTTAATTAACTATTGTATCGAATTTGAATTAAAAAGAAAAACACTGACATTTTATACAGACGTGTATATATAT